GACTTACAATAGCGGTCCATTCTCGCAACGGGCCTGCAGTGTCTGTCTTGCCCCCCCCCCTCCTGTACCCCCTTCCCCCCTCTCCAGCCCTCCCTCGGGTACCGTATAAAGACCATCCCTCTTTGAATGTGAATGCCCCTGATGCCTTAAAAAAAAAAAAAAAAAAAAAAAAAAAAAAAAAAAAAAAAAAACACCCATCAGGCTAGTCGAGACACAAGAGGAGCTATTGTGTCGAGAATTCAAAATCTTTGGCGTGTTTGTGTTTTGTTTGATGGTGTCTGAAGTTTGGCGTTCATAGAAGGTGCGAGGTTGCGTGTCTATCCAGCCATGTATGGGGGACACAGACAGACACACACGGGCGTACGTACATAGGGGTGTGTGACTAGGTATTCATATGCAAATAGCTGTGCAAACGCTATGATGTGACCTTTGCGGATTCAGGTTCATCGGCTGGGTCTGTTTTTCATCGCAATTTGGGAGGATTTCCAGACGGAAGTGATATAGGGACGAGGGGGGGGGGGGTATTTTCGTCATTTTTCAGCCAGCGGGTGAATTTAAACAGGTCTTGAAAGTCTTAAATGCAGTGGTTCCCATTTTTTTTCTTTATTTGGCCCCCGACCAATTCGTAATATTCTCCATGGACTCCCCCACTGACTGACATCTTTACAGATTCAGTTATTACTAGCTATGAATAGTTTAATGGTATCAATAGCTACAGAGCAAGGACATTTTGGGGGAAAAATCAATTTACTGAGAAATAATCCTAAGTAGGTATGTCATAAAAAAGAAAAACAAAAAATAACAAAACTAATCAAGAAAAATAAAACAAAAGAAGAGGAAAAAAAATAAAACAAGAACAAAACGCAATAACCAACAAAACCAAAGAAGAAATAAAACGATAAAAGCAAACAAAACAAAAGAAACAAAATAATGCGAGAAAAAAACAAAACCAAAAACAAGAAACAAAAACAAACAAGAAAAAAGCAAACCAAGACAAAAAAAATTAATACGAGAAAAAAAAGTAACAAAAACAAACAAACAGCAAAGCAAGAGCGGCGAATCCATCCCCCAATATCCTAGAGTCATCCTGTGGCATCATCCATGGGCGTGAAGATGACACGGTGCGTCGTGGCCCTCGCTCACGCCCGCAGCAGGGGGGAGGGGGAGGAGGCGAGAGGGACGGGGATGGGCGGCGGGTAGGAGAGGTAGGGATGGGAGGTGGGGAGGGGGATGGGGATGGGCGACGGGAGAGGGAGTAGGGTATAGGGGGTGGCTAGGAGGATGGTTGGGGGGAAGGGGGATGGTGGCGGTAGGGGGGTAGGGGGATGGGCGCGGGTTGGGGAGGTAGGGGTATGGGCGGCAGGTAGGGGGTAGGGGGGGTAGGGTATGGGCGGCGGATAGGGGGAATAAGGGTATTGTGGCGGGTAGGGGTAGGGGTATGGGCGGCGGATAGGTGGGAATAGGGGTATTGGTGGCGGGTAGGGATATGGGTATGTAGGGGTATGGGCGGGGGATAGGGGGTAGGGGTAGGGGGTAGGGTATGGGCGGCGGTAGGGGAGGTAGGGGGGGGGATGGGCCGCAGGACTGGGTGGGGGTAGGGAGTGTAGGGGGAATAGGGTTGATGGCGGTAGGGGGTAGGGGATAGTGGGGGTATGGGGGGGAAGGGGATGGCGGAGGTCTAAACAGGTCCGCTTAATTGTCTAGTTGCCGTGAGAGACACTTGCCAATTATCTCGTTTGTTTTGTTAAACCTTTTTCTTTTCTTTTTTTTCGTTTTTTTTCTCTCTCTCTCTGGGAAGGTAATTCGTCCCGTGAATAGACTGATTGTTTATCACCATTATTGTCATTAATTTCCGTCTTTTTCGTGAGCTT